ACTATTATAAGGATACAGAATAAGTGAAGTTTTACTGACGATACTGTGTCTGAGGAAAGCTAGGGGTGGGTGTGTCTAAGGACACGGGACTATCGGATTTGTTGATGACAATTTTGATTAAGGAAGCGAGGGCAGTAGACACCGTCTCCGATTGGATAATAAAAGTTGCTAACGGAACATACCAGACCATTGTCACTAATGTCGCGAGCGCTTAATCGCCGTGTTTGATTGTCAAATCTGTGTTATCCATACTTGTGTCAATAAACCGTACCTTTGTTATACCGCAACGATGGCTAATTTCAATGAAGATTCATCAAACACCAACAACCCTATCCTCAACGTCACCCCGACATCAGAAGTGGGATCAGACCCACGTATAGCCATGGAACAGCTCTTGAAAATCGTGGGCCGGACTCAGCAGAAGGAGCAAAGACCAAGTGTGGAACCTGTACATCTAGTGCTACCACGTTTTAACCCCGAAACCGCCGACCCAGCTATGTGGTGCGCGAATGTTAGTGCAATTATGGACAAAATGCCTCTACAAGACTACGAGTTATACCTTGTTATAAGTCGTGCCCTAGAGGGTACCGCGGTACAGTGGCTTACGCAAGTTCCCGTCAACGGTCTTACTTGGACAAAATTTAAGGAACTTCTTCTGACTCGTTATGGTGGCACGGAGACGGCAATCTCAGCGCTATTTAGGATGCTCAACGAATCACCACTGGAGGGCGAAACCACGGGGGCTTTTGGAAATCGTCTCCACTTCCTTCTGTCGGTGAAATGGGAAAATTTAACCAGTGCCGAACTAATCAACGCCGTCGTCTTTCTGCGACTGATCTGGCATGACCAGCGTTTCGAAAGAATAGCACTCACGAAGGATATTCGGACCCAAGATCAATTCCATAAGGAAATGCGAGTTTTCTCCCACGTGAAGAGTACCTTCACGTCGAATAGTTCATCGACGGAACCTAAAGCCAAACGACACAAGCCATTAGCCCACCACGCGAGGTGCCTTTACTGTGGTAACCGCGGACACAAAATAGGGGAGTGCCGCAGTAGAATGCGTAGAGAACAGCAATAAAAATACACAACGCCCGGAAGGAAGACGATCAGTCGCATCGTCACAGGTGGTTTGCTTCAGGTGTCAGACGGAGAGCCATATCGCACCTGACTGCCCGCTACAACAAGACAGAAAAACCGGCCCCAAGAACAAACTTCGAGTCGACTCCTGCGTGGTGAAGCCGCCAGCTGGTAGTTTAAGTCATCAGAGTGAGTCGTTTCTGTTTTACTTCGATTCCGGAGCTGAGTGCTCATTAATCAAAGAATCCGTAGCCCCGAAATTTTCCGGTAAAAGAACGATCGATATAGTAGTAATGCAAGGAATCGGGAATACTTGCGTCAAAAGTACGTCTCAGATTTTGTCCGTCGTACATGTCACGTAAACTTAAGGGTTGGTTGATGAAATAAAATAGCTGAGTCGTAACACAACTATTAATTTTGTTTTAATTAAACTTTATTATGAATTCAGCAATCATAATGTAACATACACTAAATTAAGGGGGGAGGGTAAGGTTTTAAAATTTTTTTTTGCATTCTTTTTTTATTTTTTTGATTGAATGCATAACATCTTAAGAATATTGTGTCAAAATTTCAGCGTGCTATTGTTACTTCACAGACATTTTTTTCTCTATATAATACCTAATCTTACCCCCAGATCTATTTATAGTACTTAACGACTCAAGTACAAACCTCCTTATACCTGTACTGTATATTTTGTCAGTGTAGAGTAAAAAATTTAGTGTAGGAGTAAATATTCCATTTTCATTAAGTTTTGTGTTAAATCTTTACTAAAATGCCTAAAAAAGTTACTAGATCTGATAGACAATCAACTGGTTCGAGATTATATCAACCTAGAAAAATTGTACCTCCGCATAAACGTAAATACGAAGGCACTTCAACAAATAGCGCGTCAGCTAAAAAAATAAAAGTGACTGTTGAAGATCAAATTACGAAGGATCGTGAAAAATATTATAGGATAATTGATTTTTTATTAGTCTTTTCAACATTTGCTACGCTAGTGAAAAAGTAAACCGATAAAATTCGCTTATGAACGTTTTATACCAGATTTTTTAGTGTTCAAAACTTTAAAGCGTTTTCCCCACAACTCACGTTTTCAGAGTCGGTTCCCCCAATTACCTCAAAACTATTGCGCCGATCCTTTTGAAATTTTGAAAACTACTTCTGTACATAATTTGTGAGGTAACGCTGTAGAGTTTTTTCAAATTTGTTAATTATTTTTATTTTAAAATAACAAATTAGCCGAAAATTTTCGCACAAAATCGCGTTTTTCCCTTCGAAGTGTTCCAAAAAAGTGAAAGATTGAAATTTTGAAAAAATCTTCGCAGCGTTACCTGGGGAAAACTGTTACCTAACGAATGAACTTTAACTTTTTGATTTCTGATGATCCAACACCAAGTTCTGAGGGGCACCGCAATTATACTTTTATCCGAGACACGTCTGAATAATTGCTGCCATTGCCGTATTTTTTAATATTGTCATACTTTAAGAAAAGAAAATAAAGAAATTTTAACTGTATCGTCACAAAAACATGCCTTTTTTTGTACTAATTAACCCCCCCCCCCCCTTAACATAAATCACAATTCACTCCAACCACGTTATCTAAGACTTAGTTATAACGATATGTTAAGTACGTAACTGTTATAAGGATAGAGACCGTTAAAGATATGTTAACTATTCTAAGGATACAGAATAAGTGAGTTTTACTGACGATACTGTGTCTGAGGAAAGCTAAGGGTGGGTGTGTCTAAGGACACGGGACTATCGGATTTGTTGATGACAATTTTGATTAAGGAAGCGAGGGCAGTAGACACCGTCTCCGATTGGATAATAAAAGTTGCTAACGGAACATACCAGATGTGAAGAAAATCAACCAATGGCGCTTAATCGCCGTGTTTGATTGTCAAATCTGTGTTATCCATACTTGTGTTAATAAACCGTTCCTTTGTTATACCACAACGATGGCTAATTTCAATGAAGATTCATCAAACGCTCCCAACTCCATCCTCAACGCTAACCCGACATATATATATATATGTAACATATATATATATATGTTAATTCTGCTTCAAATTCTTTTGGAATATATATAATATTAATAACACTGATATACATCAATATTGTTCTGTGAAAAGAAAAAGATATATATACATATGTACTTTATAGATTCTGAGTCTTGGGCCCAGTCTATATATGTGGATTATTGATATTATTATCGATATTATTATACAGTTATAATGGATGCGTGTTCTTATAAACTATCATTCTTACAAATATATCAATCAAATTATGTATATAATTTTGAATTAACATTGAAGTTTCCTATGAAATTGTAAATAATGTATAAAATAGGATAATCTATATCATAGATGAAGTATAGAATTTTATATAACATATTTCTTCAATACAACTTAAAGAACACATTCTGTTTATTCCACATTTTTCGCAAATAATTTATTGTAATCTTCCATTAATTTAACACCGTTCTCTGCCGGTATCATTGACAACTTATAGTTTATTTTCTAGTTTTAGCTCATTAATAAAACTTCTATTTTCGGATCAAGTATACATCTCGTGTTTCAAAATGAACTGCGGAATGTTAGCATATGATTCACACACTATCTAGGCGAATCTCAAATGACACGATTTTGAGAGTTCTTCTTAAATGAACATACAACTCTTGCGAGAAACTATCAGAAGGAATTCTCAAATGAATACTTACAATTCACATATATTTGTTCTGATACTGCTTCGTGCCATGTGCACATTTCTTCTTTATAGTATTTACCGATACAATGCAGTGAAGCAGGGTCGCATGATTACACATTTCCTCTTTCGCTGTGCATTCTCATATTTCTCCCAGTAAAAACACTGGAGACGAAACGTACGACTAGTTCAGTCATTGACCACGAGAGGCTCTTACTTTTACAACTAGTACCCAGACTTTAGTTGAATTTTACTACATAGGTATCGTCTATAAGCATTGACGATCTCCCTTCCTATTCATTTCTGAAATAACCTTACTACGTAATGCTAGTCGTGTATGTTTTTGTTTATATTTATAATAAGTATTGTTGTATTAATAGTAACAGTGGACGAGTTTTTCAGCAGTTTATGTAGCAAAATATTGTATTTATTTTGAAAGATTCCAAAATGTATGATCGATATTCTCTTTTGATTAACATATATTTAAATACATTTTATATTTTAATTTCTAATAATTCAGAAGAAAAATATTACCAGATAATCAATTATGAAAAGTGATTATAATTTCAAAATTGGTTAAATTATATATGTATAGTATGGATAAATCTCAGATCAATAAAAACGATTTTTTCCCTCAAGTTCAGTATGCATTTCCTATTTTATATGAAAAGGTTTGTTTATATTTGGTAAATATCTAGATTTGCTTGTCTTGAAAATATACTTAGTAGTAACGAATACTTTATTGAGTGCTTATAATTTAATACATAATCAAATTCATATAATATTCTTGAAATATGTGTTTAAAATAATAACTTAATATTTGTAAAGTAAGTAACTTAATATTTGTTTTAGATTCAAAATGAATGTACAGATGAAGAATTTGCAGATGTGATTAAAGAAATAAAGAGGTTGAATTTGACACAATTTGTTGAAGATATAGTTATTTATCATATAGAGTTATATATTCGGCAAAATGTAGCACCCACATTTTGGAAACAATTCACAAATAATGTGACTGGACAACAAGGTTTCGAACATTTTAAAAATGCAGTAGATGGATTGTATATAAGTCTAACAGAATTTTTGCCATTATTAAAAAAGTTAGAATACTTAACACAAAATGAAACAGCTCAATCTACAACAAATGGGAACAACGTACTAGGTCAATTTAAATTAATTGTACGATCTACGCTATTAAGTCAGTTACCACTTCACTACGAACACATAGTTGAGCAATTTTATAAAATCGCGTTTAATGTATTTTGTAGTGCAGATAATTCTACGCAAGGTACTTCTGTTACAATTTATTTATAAGAAAGTAAATAACAAAATTTTAATATTTATATATCCTACTTACTGTAGTTTACTTTGTGTTTACTTTGCAGTAACTACTGGAAGTGATACTGCTCAATGTATGGGTTGTTATCAGGAAGTAGATAAATGTCAGTGTCAAATGATTGTATTTATGTTCCACGAAACAAATAGAAAATTAATTGAATTAGAACTATTAGAGAGATTAGTTGGTAATGTTCTTACATCACTGATACATATACGTATTAAAAATCATGTCAGTCAATCATGTGATAAAACATTTGATGTGTCACAATTAAAATCATTAGAAAATGTAAGATTTTGTTATACATACTCCACTTATATAATATAAACTGTACTTGCCTGACATCTTGAATGCAATGAATAATATAATCAATGTCATGTTTTATATTTTATTTCACAGTGGCTTGAAACGGTTGTTATGAGTTGGTTAATAAGAATATATTCTGGTGGTTTTTCAAAGGTTGTATCTTTGACTAATCAAACTCGTAGTGCTATAGACAAATTTAAACAGAAATTGTCTCATTTTTTATATGAAACATATACAAGATTTAGAATTGAACAACTCTTTGACATCATAATAGGTTATTAAAATATAATTCACACATATATCTTTTTATACTTGTTACATTCATATTTATGTTACTTATACTGTTTTTTATATTTAGAGTATCCTGATTCTCAACCTGCAATAGATGATTTACGTATTTGTCTAGAACGAACTGATTTACGTAAAGTCCTAATAGAAAGTCTACAAGAAGCATTAAAAACGAGATTATTACATCCAGGCGTAAATACACCAGATATAATAACAGCTTATATTGCAGCTATAAGAGCATTGAGACAATTGGATCCTACAGGTGTCCTCCTTGAAACAATAACAGAACCTATTAAGTAACTATTATATTAAAATCATATTTTATTAACAATTATTAAAGTGTACTAATTATAATCTGTTAAATCACCAATGAACTTTTTCACAAAATATTTAAACGCTTTTACATATTATTTAGAATTTATTTAAGAACCAGAGAGGATACTGTACGTTGCGTAGTGAGTGATTTGCTTGATGATTCACCAAGTGATCTAGCTGATGAACTAGTCAAGGGCGAATCTTTACAATTAGATGATGGTTCTGGCGATGAAGAAAATGAAGATTGGGACAAATGGATGCCAGATCCTGTTGATGCTGATCCTGGTATGTTTATAACATCTAAGGTGTTTTAAGATGATTAGTCAAAACACTGAATATGAATTTTATGTTTTATACTAAAATAATAGAAATATGTCTCCTCCAAGGAATGTTGTATTGGTTATGTTTCCATTTAAGATACATTTGTTTCTATTTACATATCTGATTACGTAATATTTAGATAACAATTCAAAATCTATATATATATATATGTCTGTTATATATCTATTATAAGTAGATTTTAGAATTATTTAGAATTAGAAGTATTTAGGATTATTATTGATATGCAGATTGTGATAAAAAGAACCTTCTTTATGACCACTAAAATTTACCTAATTTGAATATTTCCATTCTGTATTTATTAAAACAATCAAAAGATCTTGTGTATGCAACTATTGCATAAACTAAGAAAATGTTTTACTGCAATATTGTAGTATGTAGTATGTAGTATGTAGTATTTTCAATATATTTAAACTTGCAAATTTATTTTATAAATACCTGGCTGCACAACCTCTTTTTAATTTTAATAGAATTTTCTTTACAACATTCCTATTTAAATTTTAACTAATTTTTTTATACATTATTATGTAATAAATCTTACAAAGTGCACATTTGGGCTTACTAAAATAGATTTAAATCTCTTTTTTATAGCAAAATCAGCACAACGCAGAATGTCAGATATAATATCGATGTTAGTAAATGTATATGGTAGTCAAGATCTATTTGTAAATGAATATCGTACATTATTAGCAGATAGACTACTGTCTCAATTAAATTATCATACTGAACGAGAAATCCGTCATTTAGAATTATTGAAAAGGCGTTTTGGAGAAAATCAACTTCATTACTGTGAAGTTATGTTAAAAGATGTATATGATTCTAAAAGAATAGATGGACATATACAATCTGATGCTAGTTACACTTTAGAAAAAGAGCACTTCCCTACATCTGCATTGATATTATCAGCACAGTTTTGGCCACCATTTAAAGAAAACTGGAAATTAGAGTTACCTAAAATTGTACAGGACCAATTAAACAAATATGTAAAAGCATTTGAAACTCTAAAAGGAAATAGAACACTTTGTTGGAAACCTCATCTCGGAAATGTTAATTTAGAAATTGAATTAAAAGATAGAAAATTAGATATAAATGTAACACCCATACATGCTACAATAATCTTACATTTTCAAGATAAGAGTAAGAAATATTTATGCACATGTTATTATTAACATCCTTAAATTTGTTTAATATTAATATATTTATTGTATTTTTCAACTTGCAGAAGAATGGGCTTTAGAAGAACTTGCAGAAATAATGCATGCCCCTGCAACTGTGTTAAGAAGAAAAATAACTTTTTGGGTTTCACAGGGTCTTTTGAAAGAAATTTCTAATGATGTCTTCATATTACAAGAAGAAAGTTCGACGAAAACCAGATCTTTATCAGACATCGTTCTGGAAGAAGAAGTAGAAAGTGCAATGGCATCTGCAAGTGATCAGAGGGAGGAAGAACTTCAAGTGTTTTGGTCTTATATTGTTGGCATGCTAACCAATTTAGATTCTATGCCTTTAGAAAGAATTCATCAAATGTTAAAAATGTTCGCGTCTCAAGGTCCAGGAGCAATGGAATGTGGCTTACCTGAATTGAGACAATTTCTTGATAGAAAAGTGAGAGAACATCAACTATTATTTTCAGGTGGCTTATATCGTTTACCAAAATCATAATTATTATTTAATTCTTTGTATTATATGATGTATAATATGCGATAAACTCATCAATGTTTAAAAGCTGATTTCATACAATAAGATTAATAATAAAAATTAATCTGTATAATACTGTTTAAACCCATAGTTTAATATACTGAGCAACAATGAAATTTTATGTACTGTATAATAAAGATGAAAGTGAGAATTACTTTTTTTCTAACGCGTAAATTATATGTTACTAATCAGATAATAGATACAGTTATAACAAAATATTTCTGTAATGCATTTATAAAAAAAATGTATAATATAATAAATTCAATATATTAATGTAGTTGCCTGCATAGTTAAGTATTATATATACATGCACATTATAGTTTAATTATATATTATATTTTAGTTTCTCGAAGAAATTAATATCATCTTTGCATACCATTCACATCATTTGCAGCACAATTTTTTATAAAGTATACTCCTCTATACTTAAAAATATCAAAATGTTATTATTATATTTATACAGCAATCTTTCTTACCCTTCTCTGATATGTATGGAAAAATTGCAATGAACAATGGAAAACCTTAATTACACATTTAATAAATAAATCTTTTAGATAATTTGAAAATAAAATTATTTTATATTTTGACCTATACTTGCTACATATCTTGCATTGTTGACAGAAATATCAACAATAAAATAAAATATAAAACAAATCATTTTATAAATTTTGACAAGAATTAAGCAACTATTGTAATAAACGTAAATAGTAAATACAAATATTCTTAATAACAAAACTGTATACATACATACATATATAAATCTATGTATGTATACATATATGCATATAAAGGTACATATACATGTTATTTGAATAAGTATTGTGAATATAAATGATATTTACTCCTTGATCTCAATGTCAAATATTTTTAAATAATCTAATCCAATTAAAATAATTTTGATGAAAGTATCTTTAATGTTTTGTGACATATATACATATATGTTACATACTGTTACCAAATTTAAAACACTATAGAATTAAACAAATATTAACTAGTTTTTGCCATGACTGATTATTAATAGTAAATAGATTATTAATGTTAATATTATTAACATTTCAAAGTTACAGTTTTCCAAATATAATAAAAAAATACAATGTTAATTCTCTGACTGTGATTAAATATTAATGATTATATATCATACATTCATTTCAAAAACAATGTCTCGTATATGAGAACAATATATCATAGTGATAATATGATATATCATATTGTTATTTCTAAATTGTTTTTTATGTTTTTAAAAATTTGTATGCGTATTTTGTAACATGTGTATGTACCTGCAACTGTATAAGACTTAAAAAATATATAAGTTCATCTACATATAAACAGTCAATGAATACATATAATAATTTGTTTAATATTAAAAGGGAAAGTTAAAAAATAGAGACAATTTTGCCGAATTTGAGATACATATCAAACGTCTTGAATCTAGTAATGATACATATGAATGTAAGTATTTCATAATCTATATATGATATATTTATATATACGTAAGATTAAAAATTTTTTGTTTCTAAGAAAATAGAAGAAAAAGTATCAATAGAAGAAAAAATAGAAGAAAGAACTTTTGTTTGAGATTGCTAGAAGTTGTCGAATATTATATATTGATTATTGTAAACAAATCTTTTTAATTTTTGAAATTTATAACACTTTTACTCCCTATGATGCAGTTTTAAAACCTTTATTATTAAGGGAAAGTATGATAAAAATTTGATTATATAATTATCATTCCAATCAAATAATATATAGATTTTTAATACATAATCAGTAATTAATATCATTCACTAAAAATAATCTGTATTATTTTTTATTTAAAAAGGGTAATTAATATTTAATGCACTATTATATTTTACTTAGTATTAAAGTCCAACAATCAAATTCAATCCAATCGGTCCAAATATCAAAGAATATATTTTAGTGATTTTCAAAACCAGGACATTTATATAAGACCAAATAAGAAGTAAAATATGTATATATTTCTATGTTATTATTTTATGTGTGACTCAAAGATAGATACATATATACATATGTGTGTATATATATATATGTATATATGTATATATTAATGATATCATCATTGCACTAAATACACGGCAAAAGTTTCATCAATTTTCAACTTCCCCCGCTCCTACATATGTATGTACTTTTGTAAAATATCTGTGTTTTTTTTGCATCATTATTTTGAATTACATATTGTATTAAAATATAGTGGATATACTACTTTAAGCTATAAACTTAAGTAGAATTCAGATCACTCTTAGTACGATTAGATCATGAATTATAATCTATTTACACAAAGTAATAGTTGTTTGTCCTTATATAGTTGAAAATGTTCAAAATGCTTGTTTAAAGTACAAGCATGTTACACAGATCATCAAATATACACAAATGAACATGATAGAAAGTTCTTATTACATGTACATATGGCAAATCTAAATGATTAACAGAATATTATTTGTATATCTAAATGATATTATTGACTGGTAAATAAATCAATCTCACATATAAACACTCTCTTCTATTATATATAGATAACTTCATTATATAACATTATAAATGTAGATATATTCCAAATAACGATGAAGGTAGTAAACAACTTCCATATGCTGTTCTTTGTCTTAATTAAATTGCTCACCATTTGTAGAAATATCGTTTTTATAAACAACCCTTCCTAATCTACATTTATAAAAAGGAAAGAAAAATAAATGGTTTCTTTGTGAATTTATCTAGATAAGTAAAATTGAAAATATTCAATAAATGATCAAAGTCTATTATTTTACAAATAAATTGCACCGTAATATTACATAACAGAATTTTCAAATTATAAAAGAATAAAATATTACATATGTATCTCTTTGTTAAAAAGTGGAGATTCTTCCTAGCCACACAACAAACTAATATACGTATTTAAAGAGACATTTTATATTCTTAATAATTAATTAATATCTTCAAATATATTTTGATTTTTTTAGCTTTTCTTGATCAAATTAATGAGTTGTAAATTCAGAAAGTTAGATACAAAATATCTAGTAAATAATAATTATAATTAAATTTGACACGTAAAATTGTATATTTTTGTGTTATGTTATAGTTCATCGTCTATTAATATAACAATTATTTAACATGCTATTACTGGTGTAAAACTTTATCTCTGTAAATAGCTCTCACTTAACATTAAAACAAAAATATTCTTAAATTTTTATTTAGAGATTTGTTCTTTTCGCGGGTTAAACTATTCAGTTTCAATTAAAAAGTATCAAAATGAAAACAAATTTTGATTTTATATTGCACCTATTACATGTGGATATATTATTTTCTAAGTTATATAAAATACATAATGTTATTTAAATTTTTAGCCCCTTTTCTCTCCCTATTCATTTTATTGCTCTAATAAGGACGTAAGTACTAAAAAAATTGATATAGCTATTATGCAGAAAACTTCATTTTATAATTTGTGATAAACTGTACTAAATAGAAACATGTATATTGTTTAAAATGAATTTTTAGTATATATGTCATCTAAGAGGTGTGATATAACAGAAAAATGAGATTCTTATATTACTGATAAATTAAATTGAAAAATAATTTGTAAGAATTTTGAATATTTCCTACTTATTCATTATACAAATGAACATATATATAGCATATGTACATATATGTATTATTGAAATTTTAATTTTTCGTACATGTCAATTAAATTAAAGTAATATCGAGTCAATCGCCTTTGAGAACATTATTCAGCTAGAAGTGTTATACATATAATGGAATCAGAAGTTACAAGGTATTAAAAATTCGTAGAACAAACGTTTATGATTCTGTTTGTTGTATGAATAGTGTCTTTATGTATGTTTCATTGTGCACATTATTAGAAACTCAACTTTCATTAATTACACGTACATATGCATATATAGCAAAAATACGTTTCAGCATCGACGTTACTAAATATAGTAAGATTTACAAATATTCAATTTAAATTGTAGGTAATATGAAGAAGAAATAATAACAGTAAGAGGATAAATGGAACGATACTTAAAAGATAGGTACTATTGTTCCACATTACGACATGTCACAAATTTAGCGAATATAATTCATAATGATATATGCTATGGAGAATTTCTATAGATGTACGCGCTATTTACATGTATTATACATGTTGCAAATTATGCATATATATGCGATTTTTTGTAGATTATTCAATGAACAATAGTTGAAAATCTATTATTTTCTAGTTATATCACGCCTTGAAACATTTTATACGAAAAAATTTGAAATTTAGTATTTTAATAATAAATAAGTTAGTATTTTAACGTGAAAAAATGATGATGGTACATACGTAAAGATAATAGTCGAATAACTATGTACTTCGCAAAATAGTTATGTTTAAGAAGCAAAAGAATTGATAATAAATAATGTTGGTATTGCATTAATTTTATAGTGGTGATTCATTGAAATTCACACAAATTTCTCAAATTTATGCAGTAGAACCGAAGTGATTGTAATTTTGCTTCGAAATAAAAAAATGTTGCAAAATTATCGCTTTGTTTGCGTTAAAAATAAAGATGCATTTAATTATGAACCTGATTGATTTTTGTTGAAAATTGATCCTTTTTCGTCGGTAAGTAACTCACAATCAGAGACTTAATTACCTGACTGACGTTGGAAACGCCAGCACAAACGAACGCTAGCGGAACGAGCAAAGCAATTTAAACAAGGCTGTACAATTTTAAAAACACGAAGAGGGTACAGGATGGATAAACTTGACGAACAACAGGGCTGGTGATGCGAACGGCGAAGGTGGTCATCTGGTTGGTGAACCGATCGAACGCGGATGTTGTTCCAGAGTCCAGGTGTTAGCACGGGGCGAGTGGATTCCATTGTTAGCACTCCAAGCCTATAGGCCATGGGCAACCAAGGTTAAAAAGAAAGAAAAGAAAAACAGATTGTTAGTAATTTAATTATGATCGATTCATGTTAACATTAAGTTTTTGAACAGTTCGATAGTTGAAAGAAATGTAGTTAGTGGGAAGCATTGCCTTTCCTTAGATATCTTTGCATTTTAAGTTACCTAAATTATTAGACGATTAAAAGGAATTCATTTGCCCGATCGCCTAATAAGAGATTCGTTTTATTAATTCAAGGTACGTATTCACGTATAAAAAGTAAAAGTTAACGTCTAACGAAACGAGTATAATCAAAGAAATAACGATTAACAAGCAACTGCTTCGCACTCCCTTTTGGTCAATATTAGTGTATAAGCATTTATTTCATATAAAACATGATACACGTGATAGAAACATTGTCAGAATATTATATATCGATGAAATGAAGCTCATACTTCGTTACTTGTCATTCATCGTTTACAATTAACAGCCCTCTAATTACCGAAAGTTCGTAAACTTGACATATATGTATGCAGCTATACATATAATTTAGAGGATTTCATCATTTTTCCAAGCTTCGTTATTATTGTTACAATGCGCATGATCTGACATGATGATTGCTTTTTTCTGTCTTTCTCTTATAAAAGAAATTCGATCGATCATTAGAGGGTTAAACTATGTATTTTGGTTATAAGTTTCACATAATCATGTGCCCTCCCCGCGCTTAGGATAGTCGAGAAGATAAATATATAAAACTGTGTACAAGATTCTAAAACGGAACGATTTAAAGACATAAACAAGTGTAAAAAAGCAGACTTAGAATAGTAGGTGGTAAGATGATTTTTAGTTATTTAAAATGCGAGGAATTCGTTATTTCCCAAAAAATTATATCATTTTGTAGGCAGCTTGGGTGTGCACCTGCCACCATATAGTAGCGTTAAATGACACTGTACGTACGTATGATATTAAATCCATAATTACAGCAATATTATTACTGTGAATCGTATTAACTATAACGATTAATATCCTATCATCAAGCAGGTGTCAAAAGGCCAATGAATTACACGCGTGCCGTACAATAAAATAGGTCTATTTTACAATCTCTGAAAAAAGCATACCTTTGCATATGGTGTTAAGATCTGTTTACATTATATAAATACGTAGCGTTAATTGTCCAGCAAAACATGTACAAAGGAAAACCTGTCAGGTAGATTCAATATCTCAAAATTTCTGCTCACAATTGACTATTTTGTAATTACGTTGTTGTTGAATATTTTTAATGCTTGTTTCCCCTAAGAATCATCTGGATAAATTTTGTCCTCACTTTTTCCCATCTTCCCTTCTTTTTCAATATATTCTCCATTATTCTACAATTAACACTTACAGTGAACACAGGATGAACGTGTTGCATTATTATTTAAGCATAAAATAACAAAGAAAATTCAACACACTACATTTTCGTTAAGTTTATCAAAATAATGAATATTCTTTAGATTTTTTCATCCAGATTATTACTTTTGTTGGTGTGCCTGTTATTCTGATAAAAATATTATATAGGCTACATGAAGATATATATATATGTATATATATGTATATATGTGAATAGAAACATCAAGTTAGTGTCAACTTGGCCATGTGGAGCATTTCTGGTTAGTTTTATAAAGACAATGCATAGTTATACGTTTTGTGTAAAAAATGAAATCGCTTCTATAATAAAGGTGCCATTGTAAATTATGCGTGGTATTGTTAGTGATGATACATAAAAAAGGATATAGGATGCATTTTTAGGATTAAAATATAAAATATTTTATTTCTAGATAATAAAGTTTGGCAAAAATTGTTAAAAAAAATTGTTTACAACGCGTCGAAAAAATTTGTAACTTTTGGTAAAATTAGTCGAGTAAGTTTCCCGAGACGTTAAAGAGAATAGTGATTAAATTAATACGATATATACAGGCAAATTTTTAGGTACATGTACTTCTAAATTCGCATATTTTCGTGCGATATAAGTGATGTCCTGGATTCAAGTGGAACGAAAACATCCGAAGTTGAAAAATAATACGATAAAGTACTATACTTCTTCGTAGCTTAAGCCTTCGCATCGTATCGTAGTACCATCCCTGTCATTTTTCTTCATTCGAAATAAAAAGAAACTACTCTTCTTGTACTTTGTATAAATATTTATTTGAAATACACGTACGACACGCACGTGTACACACGTATGTATATCGTATAAATGTACACGCACAAAAAGGCAGACGTAAATGGAATGAATAAGTGTTCCACAGGCACAAGTTGCCAAAAAATTTATCGATTTTGATGTATGGTCACATACGTGATCTTTGAATAAAGATTACATATTATGTCGTAGGTAAATATTAAATCAGTCGTAGTACGCAATATTATTTTCAGAGCTGTATTTTATATTTATATTTGTTCTTCTTCGAACGTATTTTTTATTTTCTTTTTTCGTTTTTACTTTTAAAGTATTGTTTTTATTCATGTACATCCTATATCAATTATCCTTCGACAATGATAACGGTACTCTCATTGATTATCAATAGCTATAATACGAAGATTTCAGATTAGCACTAATATAAAAATGCGGACAAATCGTGTAGAAGTAAAAAAGATTTAGAAAAAGAATGGGTAGGTGCGCACCCATACCATACCGCAGTCTCTCCATCATTTATCTTCTTGTTTCATGATGCAAAGAAGACAGAAGGAGTAATATATATTTTTTAAAGATATTTAGTCTTTATACCTAATTGCGGGGAGTCAACATTACCTTGAAACTTTAACTTTTATTTCAATTGTGCATGTGAAGGGTATAAAAGGTAATATGTATCGGATCCTTTAATGTTGTACAAAATCACTAACCATACCCACTTCTACAATACTGAATAACGTTATTACTTATTCAAACCGTTGAAAGAGAAATTCTAAATAAAACTAATTTGCAAAGTAAAAATTCCTTTCAACATGTAATATGTTAAAAATTATTTAATACGAAATATAGTATGATTTGAGTCTTTCATAAAATATTTTTAACTAAATTTCATATTTATTATAAATTTTATATTATAATTCAACAATAGTCTCGACTAGAATTTTGAGAAAACTCTTTCTTAATAATAAAGGATCGAATCTATTTCCAAGATTATTTTACGCGTATAAACGAATCTTCAATGTGAGGTTCTATCTTACGCTTAATTAAAAAATTTAGTTTTACAAACAAAAAATTTCGAAATTTTCTTTGATATAGATATTTTTCAGTTTAAAAACATTTCAAATTTACAAATTACAATAATTGAAACATTACGTGAAATTCGCGTTTTACCAATATGCAATTATATTTGAAAATAATTACGTATTCGTTTGATTTTTGTTTTAAGTAAATGATGAATTTTACAAGAAAGATATTATTGTAGAACACTGAACATATTACTACATTAACGTCAGTATTGGATTACATATTAATAAATATCGGAGGAAATAACATATGATAAATTAACTCACAAATAAAAAAGAAGATCAAAGTATTCTTCAAAGATATTGTTTATATAACATGTTAAACATATTAAAAGATCATTGTTTAAAAAGTTGTATAGTAAATAAAAAGGAATAAAAAATTGCAATGTTTTATACGAAAATAAAATTATTGGTACATTTTTTTTTTAATTTAGATGTAAATTTGAATTAAAAGTGTTTTTAACATACATAAAACAGATGTATATTACATCATACAAAAAAATTCCTGTCTCTACTTTCAGTCTAGAACTTTACGATTTATTAGCAAATTTTTTTATATGGTTAATGGTACGATACATTATTCGCACTTTATGCAAGACTCAAACATATTTATTCGAATACTACGCGTTTTAATCAATTCCCACATATAAAAGATTCAATAAACGCAACACATTTGTATCTCTACATATCACAATAAAATTTGTAAATAATTTCATTGTTGTCATATACATTTTTTGAAAAGGCACCATAATTCTGCTATTACCTTCTTATATGTTACATTATGCTCATACGTATAATAAAAAAATTAAAACTCACCGATATCTCCATTACGATTTATTAATTGTAATTCATTACCTATTTATAAAGAGCAAAATGCTAAAAAAAAAGTGAAAAATACTTCTACTATAATACTTTGGATAAATACCCGTTACTATCAATTATTTTGAATTTAAACTGACATTATTTCATGGCTAAAATAATAATAATAGCAAGTCGTTGATTACTCGGTTTGTAATATAAATATGTAAAAGAATAAATTTTTGGCTTAGAAGTACAGAAAAAAGATGTTGTAGAACAAGAACGAAAAGGGAAGGATCTTTTTTAATGAATGTAAATGATTTTTCTCGAACCTTGAAGCTTTCTCATGTGACCATAAACAATTTAAATTTGACTTTCATATTCATGTCTATGGAATGCATGCAATTTTTTGACATTTACAGTTATTATTATGATGCAAGATATTATGACTGACTAGTAAATAGGTAATTGTTAGCTGCGATAAACTTATAAGAAGATGAAATTAAACGTATAAAAGGAAGAAATGTATAAAATCTCAAACATTATACATCTACGTTTACCTTTTTCAACTTCAAGTGAATGTACACCCAATTCTGCCTTTACACGGATCTCTGACAATGACTTTAATTTGACATTGGAATAGAAAAAAAATTTAATTCTCTTTTCATACGATTGGCACAAACAGTGCCATTCGAATATGGCAAAAATGTTCATTCGTTTTCAATCCTCTTTGCTAAAATTTTCTTTTTGGTACTTTTTCTTAGGTTTGTAGTCTAATTCTGTTTCATATTTCCTCGATTTTAATTAAGTTCAATTATATCGACAGTTGACTCTATACTATTTTCTATTTTATAGCAATATTATGCGGATCCTGTTTCATTCGAATTAAAATGGTAACAATAAGTCCTGACAGTTCTCTTCTCTGAAAAGTTAGACTTGACCTGTCGTTTCCCGTTCGCTCTTTTCTGTTCTTACATACTCTATATATATGTGTATGCATGCACATATAATTGTCTTTACAAGTTTACAACATAAAGATGCATTATATTTTGTCACATAATTTCTGGAAGGACCTATCAACCGTATAAAAACATAAGTAGGTGTATAAGTTTCGCATAACGAGTTATTAGTTTCATTCTAACATCATAATAGTTGAAAGTAACAAAGTTTAAGAAAAATCAATCAATTCTATAAAAAGAAGACATTTCCTGCATGTAGTGTGCACTATATGAAAGAGAAAGACATTATACACATAATATATTTTGCGAGACAATATAATATCTATATATCTATATCTCTTTATGAGTATATATAATATATATATACAGGAATATAATACAAAATAAAATAGAATATAATATAAAAGAAGATAGATGATAAATATCTTTGTCTATGCACACGTATAGACTGTAGATACGGATATATAGATATTACGAAAATAATAATTGTGGGAATAGTATACAAAAAATGGAACGTTTCTAAGAAACTAACCTTTTCACGGAGGCGCGTACAGTATTGTGATTGCGCTCTCCGGATTCACGACAAAGCACCAGCCCTTTGATAAGGGTGCTCGCGAATCTGACCCAAGTGTCTACGTTGCTTTGCAGCGGCTGCTGCACCTGTCCCCAACATACAAATGTGTTTAATTCATCTGTTTCCACATGTATTTATTATTATCCAGTCCTCGGCAGGTCACATAACTGCCGCTATAAACAATAATAGCAAATTAAAGTTATCTACAAGTTTACGATTAAAACGCAAACTAATAGCCAATGCTTCTATCTTGCATACTTTTCTTCTCACTTTTAGTTTCCGCAATGCTCTCACTTACATCTTATACATATATTTTATATTTAAACGTGTATAAGCACAATTCGAGCACAATTTCACAAATCACTTTTCCTATGCTCTTTATTAGTTTGCGTTCAATCTTCAAATTTGAAACAGAAAAGTTATTATCGTATAGGTATTATCCTATCCCCTGAAATGAAATAGCATAAAAGCGTTATATATATGTACATATATGTATGTGTACGTGTATTATTAATTATTTCAAATTTTTACTATATCTTACTACATCTATTTATATATTCATAGTGTATAATAATCTTATGGATCTAAAACTCCAATTTCCTTTACAAGATTTTGAACAACGAATATTTGCGTTCGTAAAAATAAAGATTAACTAGAAAAGATATACGTTCGTTCTTTTAAACCGTCTTCTTCCGTCATCCATTACTTTTTAATATTAATTAAGCTATTAGCAAATATACACGGGCGCGTACATATACGTATTTCTATTTAAGAATTATGCAGATTGTATTTATTAAATAAAACTTATTTCTTAAGTAAGAAATAAAATAATTCTTAGTAATTATACGTCATCCGATCATCGATTTCTTCTATATATGTAACATTTTTTTGCAGTTTATTGCAATTTGTGTATCCATACGGCAAATCTTAACGTAGAGCGAATCGAATAATTTTCATCTTATACCTTGCTATTAAAAAAATAGCATCATAAATTTCGTTAACACGTTAAAGATATTTGAAATATATTTGCTTTACGTATGTCTAGTACTAATCGTCGATGATACTAATTATCGAAGTATTAGACATGCGCATTACAAATTATCTTTCTTTATAATTTTTTTTCTTATTATCTATCGAAAATACGATATTATATTAACACCTAACATAAATATATATATATATATATATTAAATACAATAAACAGATATATTTATATGGTTTTTAAGAAATTACATTATCACGTTTAGCAAATTTTAGCTATATGTATATTAAAATTCTTCGCGTTTCATGACTATAGAGAAGTCAACAAACAGTGGACAATTATTGCTTATTTGTTCGTTGATAATAGGTTTTCGTAATTAATTATTTTATTTATTTGTAATGAATCGTAATAATTAAACTGTTATAAAACTATTATTCAAATCACGTTGCTACAATACACAGTAATTTACATAAATGTCATCATTGCACATAAGATTATTGAGTACTTTTTACTAAAAAGCTTAATTAAACATATCCTCTGAATTCTCTAATATGGTGTTATTTTGCACAAATAGTTTTACTAGTCAGGCTATACCGTTTGTTAATAATTTCCATAAATAATATTTATAATATAAAAGATTTTATAATTCTTAAAATTTTTTTTTACGAAATAGGCCAATACAATCTTTCACAGCTATCTTCAGATTTCATTCGGAAAAAAACACTTATTAAATACTGCTTACATCGTCGAACGTATAGAACTAGACAGATCAATAAATATTTACATGCGTACAGATAGTTGCACCAGTGTATTTGGTCCCTAATATATTATTTTTATTGTTGCTTCTTAATTTATTTCTTTATGTCGAGTAAAAGTTCCTTAGCACAAGGAAATTCATGAAAGAATAAATTTCTATACATTTTAATTTATAAACTAATACTCAATTGTTTTTCAAAGAGGTAAGGAATTAGTTACTAAAAGAACAATTTCCAATTGAATATCACTTGACTTTAAAACGATATAAAATTTAAATATTTTGTGTTCCTTTTCTTCTAAGATTTTTCCTAAGATTATGCCATTTCTAACAAAATACTACTATAATACTATCTTGATCAAACTACTACTACTAAATCTTATAAGCTAAAAACATCTTATATCTCACACTCTGTTAAAATTAACGTAAAATTAACATTAATTATGTATTAGATAGTATTTAATACCTTGACATGTGTTGAAAACGTGTATAGGAATTTACAGAAAGACAATTTTTCAATTACGGAGCGTTACTTGACAGCAGAGCAAGATTCAGTTTATATCTTGAAAGGATGTTTAGCAGTCACAATAGTAAAACAATTTAAACGAAGGAATTGCAACGATGGAAATATTGTAAAACTAACTTATCGAAATATTTATAAAAGAGTAATTTTTATATTTATAAAATACTATCTAATATTTAATATTCAGTATGTTGACAACTATTTGAATAGCAATAGTGTTTTCAATTAATTCCATTTTATTTAAAGTGTTGTGTTCCAATTTCTCACGGCCACAATATTTATTTTCAATATTGAAACGTAAAATATTTAAACATAAGTACCATGACAATAACATAAAAATGGATTTAGGAAAATAGCAAAATCAATATTAATGCGTAAACGATTATCACTTTTCACAATTGTTTCTTGTAACTAGATCCATCGAACTGTTTTAAAATAAATCTAAGGTAATCTAGTCTTTTTAAATAATATGAATCCGAAACTATAAAAAATAATTTAAGACATTTATTAAGCAATTTGATATTCATTATATTTAAGAAATGATTATATTACTGAAAAAAAGAAAATGTAGGTATGTGATATTGAGGTATCGTAATACGAGTACAATCCGCCAATGATATTGTCAATAATGGAATTAATAAAATCACAGCCATATAAAATAGCAAATTGGAGAAGTATTTAATTTGTCAGAAACTATGAAAAAAATTAGTGAAATTATTTAAACGAATTTTTACAATAATCCACGTTTTGAGACGCCATTAAACATTGATATAAAAGATTTTAGAAATGTCTAATGATTTCCCTGAGAATCTAGTATAATTTTATCACTAATAAAATATTGAAAATGTGAGAATTATTCTTTTTGGATTAATGGATTCCAAAACAAATAATCGTTAATAATTAATATTGAGTACCATTAAAAAAGGATTTTTGTCAAAATATAAACCAGAGTAACTTATATTTTACATGGTAATACAATAATTTATCTTACAATAAATTGAATGTTGTCTAACGAAAGAAGTATTAAACATAAAATATCTACTGACGTGTACATAAAAAAGACCAATTTGCTTTTAGAGGTGTATAATATGTACTTGATATAATTATTTTCAAAACATTAGCGATCATTGTTTGTAACGATCCTTGATCCTATTGTATATGAAAAACTAGTACCTAGTGATGTAAATTGTAAATCACATTAGGTAAAATATTTTTAGAAAGTAGAAATGGATATAATAAAAATATATAAAAAATATCTATCTTTAATTTCTAAGTAATAACTATTATTTATGCATAAAATACAATTTCTAAGTTTAAACGTGTCTATAATACGTCACTTTCCATTTGAGGAAGGTATTTACAAGATATTTTTGTACGATATTCTATATTTAACATATGACAAGAATTGAGCGCCATTTTTTTTATCTCGCGATATTTAATTTCTTTTTATATTTCTTAAATAATTTACTTCTCATTTCTGCACACATGTTTTCCAGTCCTAATATATATAAATATCAAATTTTTCGGACATATAACTGTATATATTTCAAAAATATCTATTTATTACGATTTGAGATTGCGGTACAGTTTTTAATGTGATTTGAAAATTAAGTTTATACTTGCGGAAATTAATCAAAAGTAATTGTAGACTACAAAAGGAACCCGAAAATATCTCGGTATATTATAAATACATTATTTATATGTATATACAATTAGATATTTATATTCTATATATATCTAATCATATAACTTTATTATGTGCAAACAATTCCTAACATGGAATAATAGAACTAGAAATACAGATGTGCATTAATAAGTTATGCCAAACTTCTGTACACTAAATTTCACATAAATTTAATAAGCGTACATTTAATGTTTATTTATCTGTCATATAAAAATTGAATAAATAATAATATCATATATATAAGATATTGGCTTTAGTTTTGACTTGAAATATTTTCACTTTTCAATTGCGATGCAACTTTCAAAATCATTTTTACCTTGTCAAAGGTCATAAAATATTACATACATACATGGCTGAAAATAAACAAATTTCTCGTGCAATAATAAACTGAATACTATATTACTAGAATAATCTATTCGATTGTACTTACTACGAAAATCGTGTTACCGTAACTCTGAAAATATGTAGAATGTTTAATAAATATTTCAAATAAAAGTAAAATATCTTTTGCTACACTGGATACGTCATATTAATTACTCATACGAATAAAATAATACGAGTAAAGTTGCAATCTGAAAATAATATTATGTAAAAAAAACAAAAAGGTAAAGATGTACATAGGTAGCTGATGTTTTTTTGACGAGAAATTCGCTTATTTCTTTTCTTAATTCTTATTGTATAAATTACGTTAATGTTGATATTTAGCTATATCGATATTAGAGTTATAGCAATAAATAATATTTGATTATTTCATTAAATATATAATCAATATGGCAATGCACCACAGAATCGATCATGCAGACGTATTAACGCGTGCAGACATTCTATTCTTCAAATCCCTTTAAATAATACAAATAGAATACGTAGTATGTCATAAGACGTGATATGTTTGAAAAATGAAAGTTCCTTTTAATAATGTAAAATAAAGAAAAAGAATGATAAACGCATTTGGTTTCAAGTTACAAAATTAAGCTTGAAATAATTTTCACAGCAATTTCACATAGGTGAATTGTTTTAACAGATTATGTTCTAACAAATACTTTTTTATAATATTTAATTTCTTAAACTGAAATAGATTTCACCTAACACTGTTCTATACAACACTATGCAAGGCTTACTCGGATAGAAGCTACGTCCAAATGGAATTTCTTCCTGATGTTTTGCCAGCATTGCAGCTAACTTCTTCAGGATCTGAGAACGTACTGCACGAAAATGACATTGTACAACAGTGTTTAGTGTGATAATCCGTTCCATGGAAGCCCCAAATCTCTGAAATCTGTTTCTTATCAATTATTTACATATTTTTTCATTCCACAACATTCATCTTTACGAAAAGGTTATTACGATACTTTTCATTTCTTATTATGTTGCTAATTAATATTCTAAATAAAAAACAATAATAGATATATATGTATGATATATGCATACATACATATATGTATAATACATAGTAATACTTCGTATTAAGAGAATATTCTAGTTTAGGCATTTTAAAAACCCAATTCAAAATCAATGTATAAATTTTCCGTATTATGTTTGCGGTAAGATTGTCTTGAATTTATAAAATTAATAAAAGTTTTAAAAATGGCATGCAGCTAGCAACGTGTGACGTACGATAACGTAAAGAGAAAATTAATGGTAAGCTCAAGTTTAAGCATGACACTTTAATAACATTTTGGATGAGAAAAAAGACGTATTCCTTCGCTTCAAAACATATAAATACATTCAGAAGTAGTAACTGCGAATTTAATGTATATTTAATGAATGATTCTTTGCAGTTCTGCATGTTTATCTGTGTGATGAGACTAACTACTGATCAGTAAGCAAAAGTATACGTAAATTTCTGCGATAAGAAGAAAGAGTCCATCGTTCAGAATGTCGGTAGAAGCTACTAAGAAAACTAAGACTAAAACTGTTCACAGAAAAAATAAATCGGTTGAGCAGGACTTTCCTGAACAAGAGTTCTGAACAGTCCTCACTTAACAGATTATTCGTAATTATAATCGATTTCGGTTAACTGATATGGTATGAGAAACTTTAAATACGTTTTTCTCGAAACCGGGTTTTTTAATATAAGCTTCGATCAATTGATCTCAAATTTTTGCTATAACTTCGGTATATCAAAAGTTCAACCTGTCATCCAATAGGACACATTTTTTAAGAATCGCGCTAAATAGCATATGATTCACTCGATCTATTAATAGCGGTGAATATTCTTAAGAAATAAATTACGCGTGTAAAGCGCCGATATCAAAAAGTTTAATGATATCTCTGTAAAAAATTTGTAAAAGGCCTCAAATGTGACACTCTAGACTAGAATAGCCTCTTAATGTTTCATGCCTCGACAAATGATCAATTTTTTAAAGTAAAATGTAAGTATAAAATTTTATTGCACTTGCATCGCTAATAATTCCATGTTATAAATATTTATCTGTAATAAATGCAATAGCACCACTATAATGATTATAATATATACAAATTATAAAGAAACAGATAATAAGTAGCAATTATTACATAATAGAAAAGTATACGAAAAATATTCTTCAAAATATGTAATACTAAGATAATAGCGTATCAAATACGATATTATACGAAAGACGAAGTAACAATTTCATACCTAACATAATCATTTATTCGTGTGCGTAAATTCCACGGACGAAATTATTATTAGTTACTAAAATAAGTTTCTACTAATAATTCGTTTTAAGTCGGGACTACTTCATTTTTCAAACATATCATACCTACTGAACACATTGATCTATATATATCTACTATAATGTGTAATAAATGGTAACGAATGTATGAGTGTATAACTGGACATACAATAATCGAGTATTTCATTCACAAAGAGAAGTCGTCTTAATTTTTAGTCTATACGATTATGTGTATATTTATATATATATACAAATATACGAATTGATTTCTTATACTTATCGCGTACGAGCTTGAATACTGCATGTATTGAAATCTTGTTTGTTCTAAACCAACTTATGAAATTCGAGTATACAAATCGAAGCTTATTATTACATTACTAAAAAAGATTGAGAGAATATGATCAAACAACATTTTAAATATTATGATAAACTTTGAACAAAAACACGATTAATTATATTCTTTTTCAATTATAATATACTTCGATAAATTTGTATATAATTATACGAATACTTTTTATAATTCTATCCAACAATATAGAAAATTTAACAGTAAAAATTTAACAATACATAACACGCTCTTCTTTAAAAATAGTTGTTTTACCGTTGCAATAAAAAAGAAAACAGCCATAAATCGCGTATAGAATAAATAAGAAACATTGAAGTTACTTGAAATATACATACAAATACGTTATTTGAATCGAATACTTAAGAGAAGTACGTTAAAAATCAAATAAGAAAATATTTTTTATGAGATTCAAAGTTTGTCTTACTCCGATAGATCCGCAATTCGATACAAGATTGTCAAATATTATACATGTAGTATTTACCACATACTAATTCTCTTTACACGGAATTCAAAGATTTGTCTCTTCATGATACACATATTTTAATGTCAAATATTTCTATTACTTGCTACTATCTGTTTTAAAAATGCAAGTTATAATATCATTGGACATAATCAGTATTAAATAACTATCAAAACTGATACGACTAGCAAATGACTGATGTGACTCTCTTAATATGTATGTATAAACATTCAATATTATAATAAAAATAATATCATCTAATTCTATTACGAGAAATGTTATCAAATTTCTTATTTTCTTTAATACCTGTCGTATTTTGACATTAAGATCATTACGACTTCTATACCAATCTGCTCATTATGTTTCTATTGCAGCTAATGATAATTATGAATGATGAAAATAATAATGATGACAATCAGGATGATGTTGAAGAATGGTACATCAACAGTAATAAAACTAAATGAGAATAATAATGGTGATTTGTGGATGATGTGCAATATAATAGTGAAAACAGTAACATAATATCAATAATACCTATTACTGATAAAAAACAATAATAAGCATAATAATAATTAAAAGCATAATAATATATGACGATATTGATATAGTAATGGTAGTAATATCAATGGTAAGAATAAAAATAAAGACAATAATAATAATCGCTTTCAGATGCGACAAAATATTTGACGACATTAACTGCTCTTACCATACAAATAAAAACAAAAAGATACATATATACATATTTGTAAATATGTATTTTTCTGCTTAATAGTGGAGAACATTCCTTTTATATTTCTATTTTTAAAGCAAAGCTTTTTTTAAGCAGAGAGATGTATATATACTATGTAAATATATATATAAAATGACGTTGTCAGCATATGCGTTAATATCATTATACAGAGTAACTACCGTAGTTACATTTTTCGATCCAAGAATTTTGTAAAAATATTTGTATAAAAACTTTGTACGTGTTATTTTATACATCTTAGCGATTGAATGTTTAACACTGAATAAAAACGTGTTATTCCCGTAAAATCCCGTATTTAGTGGAATATTGTTTTGATTTTATTACTATTTTTTCTAATTGGTTACTATTGTGCAACATCAAATGTTAAACAATAAAATTAGCCAGGATGTTCTATGTAGAATTATGCCATTAATCTCTCATGTATTCGTTCATGAATATATAAAATAAAATAAAATAAGATAAAATAAAATAAAATAAAATAAAATAAAATAAAATAAAATAAAATAAAATAAAATAAAATAAAATAAAATAAAATAAAATAAAATAAAATAAAATAAAATAAAATAAAATAAAATAAAATAAAATAAAATAAAATAAAATAAAATAAAATAAAATAAAATAAAATAAAATAAAATAAAATAAAATAAAATAAAATAAAATAAAATAAAATAAAATAAAATAAAATAAAATAAAATAAAATAAAATAAAATAAAATAAAATAAAATAAAATAAAATAAAATAAAATAAAATAAAATAAAATAAAATAAAATAAAATAAAATAAAATAAAATAAAATAAAATAAAATAAAATAAAATAAAATAAAATAAAATAAAATAAAATAAAATAAAATTAAATTAAATGAAATAAAACAAAATAAAATAAAATAAAATAGAATAAAATAGAATAAAATAAATCTTTAGCAACAATTTCCTTGTTTTTGTAAATAAATATATGGAATATACAGCATGCTATTTAAGTATTTTTTATCGCTAAAGAAAATTCTCCACGAAGAAACACAAACTTAAAAATTGATAAAAAATACAAATATATTAACTGTTTTTCATTTGTCTCTATTATTTCTTTTTATCTCGTTCTCTTTCTTTTTCTCGCACATTCTACTTCACTTAATCTGTGCTGGAAGGTCGAGAAGAGATCAAACAGGACAAGTAGCAGTAATCATAATAATGATAGTAAAAGGAAATATTCATAAAATTAAATGAAATAAAACAAAATAAAATAAAATAAAATAGAATAAAATAGAATAAAATAAATCTTTAGCAACAATTTCCTTGTTTTTGTAAATAAATATATGGAATATACAGCATGCTATTTAAGTATTTTTTATCGCTAAAGAAAATTCTCCACGAAGAAACACAAACTTAAAAATTGATAAAAAATACAAATATATTAACTGTTTTTCATTTGTCTCTATTATTTCTTTTTATCTCGTTCTCTTTCTTTTTCTCGCACATTCTACTTCACTTAATCTGTGCTGGAAGGTCGAGAAGAGATCAAACAGGACAAGTAGCAGTAATCATAATAATGATAGTAAAAGGAAATATTCATAAAAAACGTTGTTGCAACTAATATCAGCGTGCAAACAACCCACCAGAATTATCAGCAGTAGTGTAATCCGCGAGGAGAGGCGAGGCTGCTAAGGCTGCGTAGTTGGCATAATCGGCATATGGCGTGTAAATTAAACCATGGGGATCACCGGCAGAAAGAAGAGATCCTGGTGGACCCGAACCGTTTAGAAGAGATGCCGCGGTGGTTGGGACAGATATCCGTGGCGAGAGTATTAATGGAGCTCCCAACGGAGCACTAGGTGTCCTCATAGGTGTGGCCAAGCCTGGAAGAAGCCGTTGTGTTTCCGCCGCTGCTGCTGCAACACGTCTCCACTCTTCGTCGCAAGCTGAAACATTCATTATCATTATTTCAAGTTACGAAGGAAACTGATTTTATATTTATTTATATTTATCGTTACAACCATAGCAAACAATTTTTTACATCTCCTCTCCCCCTTTCAGTACCTTTACCTTCTTTCATTAATTTTCTAACTATTCCATCGTGTTATAGAGATTCATTTATCTATATACATAACTTGTAAATGTATAATAACATATAACATGAAAAATATTTTGTACGATTTAAATACGTATGGTAGTATCAGAAAAGTGTGAATCGAACAACAATAAACTGAATATGTATACCTATTCCTTGTATAATATTTTTTAAATTTTGTTCTGTACAGAATTAGGTAATAAATTTATATTATTATGGTATTATAAATTTTTAATAAAGTTATACTTGAAAATGCTAAATCACGTTTAAGAAGCTGTAGTTTAGCAGATTATTTAGAAGGGCAGAGATTCTTGAGATATATACAGAAGAGAAATTAATACGTAAAATTGATAGCCATTAAAATGTTGTGAACGAATTACACGCTTCTCGTTGAGAGTTAGAAACATTCGTACCTATTTACTTTATACTAATGTGTCTATATTACTTTATATTATCACTTTACTGCAAATTATTTGTATTCAATAATATAATCGATTCCTCAATCAAATCTTATATATTTTTGAATAATTTTAATTTTGAATTCTATAAATGTTATTATCAAAAAGATATTAAAAATAATTTAAATTAATATACGTCTCTCAAAATATTTATTACCATCACTCATGAAATATATATAGTACTTAGATATACATATACAGTGTGTTCAATCTTCATGAATTTTTAATAAAAAATGCGAATGACATTCCCTATAAAATAATCTACCCTGTGAATAAACAAATTTTCAGATAGGAATTTAATGATTTCGAGGAGAATATAATCTGCTGCAACTATAGTATATTATAGTATAAATGAATGAATTGAAGTTACATGAAGGTAACATACTTAATTTTTCTTAAATGGGATCTTATAACTTTAAGTGAACTAATAAATCCATCTTGATATTCTCTATACAATGTTATTAACCCATTTAATTATAATACACTTATACATATAACATACTCACATATGCTTACCATGCCTATCGTATGAAAGACGCTTACCTTAACTACTTTTGTATTGGTTTTTCTTGTCTTTCACACAAATTAAAATGGAAGTTTCTCAACATAGATAGATGGGTACCTACCTTTTTATAGGGAATGCCGAGATAGATCGATTAATGCATTAAAAATTACATGGTAACATTTTAAAAAGTAATAACAGTCATGATAATATATCCTTCATGCGTCCACCTACAAATAAACTAATTACATTAAATTACTTCTCCCTCGAAGTATCGTCCGAAATATCTTTTGAATAATGAACAATTCGAACAATGATTGCATAGATAGCATGTACGTATGTATATATATAGCTATAAAAAAAGTGTCTAATATTAAATAGTATTAATGAAATTTTATTTTGAAATAAAAGTAAATAAATATTTGAATCTATACCTGTAGCTGCAGCAACTTTCGTGTTAGAATCCCGATAGGTTCCATTGATAATAGCAAGTTCCATTAACTGCCGCTTCTTTAACTCGTCCTCTCCATCAGCCTGCTAACAGTCAACATAATTAATAAGAAATATATTAATATTTTTGAAATTAATTATAGTAATCTAAGAAATACGTTACTCATTTTTTTCAAATATTTACAATTTTACTTTAATATAATTTCAAACTTTTTATTTCTTCGCATGGCATATAACATTTGTAAGAGATTGAAAAAAGAGAAGCTACGTTTGCATGTTATCAATCATGCCATTATACAATTAAATATTTTCTATGAATATCACTTTATAGCTTAAAAATTAAGCTTCCATCAAATTAAATCACGTGAATACTTATTCTTTTAGTTTGCACGAACAAATAATATTTATTTATACATGCAGAAACTTTAGTGCAGTAATGCAAAGGTGCAGCTGATAGGAAGTAATTAATATTATGGGGAAACTAATTCAATAAAATTAGATGTTATAGTTAATAATAGGAACTTTCTCACCACGGGAACAAGAAGTTTCTTCACTTCTTCTACAGCTCTGGCAAGTTTCAAAGTTGCACGATTTTCAGTATCCTCAACTGTCAATAAAACATGCAGTTCATCTGTCAGATGTTCCCAGTTTGGTTTACCTCGGTTTAACTCTTCCTGTTAAAGGGATTAATATCATATATAGTACAATTACACAATTTAAATAAACAAATGTAAAAGACTTTATCCATAATCATTATTATGGTGAGAATCATTGATAGTATAATATTACAAAGTACATATGTATGCCATTTATTCTAAAAATATATCACAAATATTAAGTGCGTGTAATAACAAATATCTAATTGTAGGAAACTAGTTCCTGAATTAATATCATATGTCTATATATCCATGATATTACTTTATATTGTATATTAATATTTCCATATAATCAATTTAAAATAAAAAATCAATATTCACATGTATTTGTTTCAATAAAGATCACAAAGCTACAATTTCTTAAATAAATTCTTGCGATAAGTCTAAACTAATGTTGAACACGAGAATTTGGAAATAAATTTTGTATATCCATATTATTATTTGATGCATATACTTACGATAAAATGTTTTCTCAGTGATCATACGCAGCTTGGAAACAAATATTTAACTTCAAATTTGAATAATAATCGTGTACTTTTGACATATTGCTTATGTGTATATTATAAAGAAGTTATAAATATATATGTATAAACTAACACGGCAAAAACTTTTTCATTATCATTTTTTTATCAGTACAAAATATTCAATCACAAAAATTGAGTACTTAATCACGCACACAATTATATTATAATATAATAAATATGATAATGTAAATTGTAATTACAAATCTAGTTACAATTGGGAGAAATTTGAAATCTTACATATGCAACAAGGAAAAATTGTACATGTTACTCGAAAATTTATACTCAAAAATATATTATATCTATGTATATAAAACATCTGTGTAAAAACAATAAATTTACCTTCTTCTTATCCCTCATAGAACCTTTTCCCCTAACCATAATTTTACATCCTGTTTCTTGCTCTAACTGTTTAGCTGTCATACCACGTGGTCCAAGAATTCTTCCAACAAAATTAAACTGTAACAAATCAAATTTTGAGACAATTTTTAAAGAAAAACATCACATCTACATATTAAGTTTGCAAGTATATGATATAAAAAATTGTGTTTTATTTCTAATGGCGATTCTTACACATGTACATAAATAATTTTTTGAAAAAACGTAGAAATTTTTTAGTATATTTAATTAGAAACAGTAGAGTTGCCATAAAGTACTTTACTGCGCTTACATTTTAACATTCACCTGATATAAAACTTGCACAAGTTATTTTTCTAAGTAGACCTGTAACGCATATAATATGCGTTTATATTATATATATAAAGAATAAGCGTAGGATACTATGCAAAATATATAAATATATAAATAAATATAAAAAATGTTATTATACATCTTCTTCTTATTCTTTTATTTAAAAAAAATGATTACTTCATGCACGCTTGTACGTTCGATAATTATATTTGGAAGTAAAATAAGAATTTTATCATATTGCAATATCGAACTTTATGAGTTTTATTTTAAACAAATTCCCTTTGATTAATAAAACATAGATACAAAACTAATTACTTAGGAAACTAACAAATTTACGTCAAAATTGTCTTCATATAAAGTAGATCAAAACTTATAAACTTCATTCAATTAACTTTTTGCGAAAAATAATTTTTTCGTGGTATTTCTAAGAAAATCTCATTGTTTATATTTCAAAAGCATAATTTCCTTCCTATTTTATTCTTTTTTCCACTACCTACACTTAAAGTTTCTCCTAACTAAACGATAAAACGTTATCGTCGTTATGCATTTATTAATTTAATAATAATTGTACTCTCTTGATTCAATGTTGACATGTAAAATCTCTTCTGTAAGTGAATAAATTCTATTTGTAATTTATTTATTTGTTCTACATTTAAGTAATATCCTTTGGACTGTGTGATCTATAAACTATGTCCCCTGATACAATATCAAATTAAATGTTCCGTGATTAAACAATGATATTGTCAAGTGGATTGTAAAAGATGAATAATTGCTTTATACACATGTATAATTCTTATTAAGAAACATTCATATATATCTTATTATTAGCTCAATTTCCTCTCATAAGGGAAATTTATTTCAGAAAGTTACAGCATAGCTTAAGAATTATTTAAAATTGATCCGTTATACATTGAAAATTAAATATATTTTATATATTTTTGCAAACTTCTATTAAAAAGAAAAAGAATAAAAAATACTAAAGTTAAAGAAAGCAAATGCGAAGCAACAATGACAAAATTATTAAAAAATCAAGAATGTATAATAAATAAATTAATCAACAGTATCGAACGTATAGCATACGTGTGATACAACACACCTTCATATTTAATAACAATAACCATTCTATTTAGCCAAAATTTATACTAAATTTATATGAAAAAGTTATTTTTAATAATATTCTGTCTTATTTATTTTCATTCGCATCGAATGAATATCATGTTATCTTATTAAAATTTTCTGGCTACATACGTGTTTGTCGTTTTGGTACCCTATTTTGACAAGATTTCTCCAATATTATATAATATTGACAAATTTCTATAATATTAAACCGATTTAAAACTCGAATCTCTTCGTGTCGTGGGAAAATATTTTCTTACCGTTATAATACATATGCAGCATTATGTATCTTCAAAGATACAATATAATATAATTTGGTAAAATTATTTAGGGCAATTTTTGTGACACGTATTTATTTTTCCATCAATAATTTCAAAATACTTCTCGTTATTGATTCAGCTTGTAATAAATTTTCTCTCTATCTTATCACGGTATCCAATACCAATAGCAGTTCAGCAAATTGAAAATAATATAATTGAGATAATCAGATCCATTCCTCTTAAATCTCTCTTAAACCGTAAATATAACCCCTTCTGTTTGTTTTAATGTTGCTTCAACATCGAAGGTCATTAGCAACATTGTTCAAATTTAAAATCTTTGGTGCAGTTTTGTTCAGATAGAAATTGGCTGAGTTTTATTAAATTCTCATACTGTTTTTCGGGTGAACTATTCTTCCTGCAGCGTCATATCGTTATGTAGTTTTTTTCTTCATGTGTACGTATTTTTTGCAAATAGTAAACATATAGTAGAGGAAATTAATCTTCTAGACAAGATTTCCTTTATATTATATATGCGTATGTATATTTACATTTCTGTAAAATGTGTCGTTCGTTTTTAACGTTAGTATCGTTACGTTGTAGGAATACTTATGTTTTTAAAATTCCTTCAGAGGCACTTAGCAAACAAAAATACTTTTTATTCTAAACATCTCTTGCATACGCAATGCGGGAGGCTTCGATTAGGCTGGATAACATTGAGACCAGACATGGGAACCGTTACAGATACGGCTTCACGAAAACCTCAAAGCACAATCTCACCCGTAGGATTAGTTTATCCATATGCGAGCACATATGTTTGATAATGTTTCAGATGATAAACTCATGGCCTATTCCACCACATAAAATTATCACAGTATTTAAGAAAACGGATACTTATGCTTCTTAGACAGATCATTACGAAAAGTCACGGTGATGCTTCGCGTTATTTGCTTCGTCAAATGACAGGCGTTACGGGCCATGACGGACACAGACGTTACAACGTCCGTCTCGCAGCGTTCTATCTCGTTTTGCATAGGATCAGGTCAGTCACACGAACTACGCCTACTTACGTCCGTCAAACTAAACAACGTTATGACGGACGTTGTAACGTTCGCCATTCCAACACTCGTGTGACCCCAGCCTAAGGTTCAAGCTTGTATCATGTGAGATGGGGCTGAAATTCCGTACCGAAGCAATCGCCTTAAAAATCTGCGAATCGAGATAAATTCTATTTGGCATTATTTTCGGGCTAGTTCTAGCAGTACTCCGTCAAAACCAAAATATTCGTAGTATATATTAGTCATAGTATATCATAGTATATAATATAATAATCTAATATTTGCAATCATAGTTGAACGTTCCCGACATTACCGCTTTAATCGTATCTTTGTTTATTAGTTGGAGTTTTTCTTTTTTATTAATATCATCCGCGATTCCTCAATTTCTATCATCAACTTCGTCCGTATAAAACCCTTCTTGCGGCTCTTTGATCTCGCGTCAGATTTAGCTGAATTTTTCTAATTTCTCAACAGCTTCTCAATTTAACGTCGAATTCATCTGTACTATTCTACAAGTTCTTCTATATTGTCTTTCGCGATGAATCCATGATGTCGTATCAGTTCATTTGCACATCTTTGAATATCCGTGCTGGCGCAGTTCAAGCACGTCACAATGTTTACTTTAGTATTTTCCATAATTTGACTCAACCATTTGTTAATTTGATACCTCTCTTACTATCTTATATTTATCCTGAGTATATAAACTTTGTATTTTCTTAATAAATCACACCAGCGATTGTTAATGCATTCTATAAATTTCATGTCACAATGAATGTTAGAAATTTCATAACGAATGCAAATTTATGTTTAATTTATATTACTATGGAGACTAATTTCAGAATAATTGCTGAATTGAATAGGCAAATTAATAATCGTTGTTTAACCCTAAAGCAACTATTAGGAAATATAAAAACCTGTGTGTCGTTTCAGTCTAGAAAACAAAGAGAGACCACCTTGTTCTCTCTCTAGTGTTCGTTATATGTAAAAATTTTTATTACAAACATTGGCTAGATAAAGTGTTTGAATACACTCTCATTTTTTATAATTAAGCGTATCCTTATCAAGTTCCACGTTTCATTTTCATGGTATTTATTTACACTACTGAATGATATGAAAATTTAATATGTGTAAGAACTGATTGAAATGATTAATTAATACGTAGATACTATGATAAATAAAGATGAAAAAAGATGATAAAGACTACTTTTTGTAGCCACTGCATTTCTAAATTCATATGTTCACTGCTTAGGGTAAATGCGTTTGGAACATTTGTGAGCTTCCTGTGTGGTAAGTCGGAATGCATTGCGCGTACGAACAACAATGCACTGGACGAATTTTTTGTCAGGTACTGATACTGCTCAAAACACACAGAAACGCGCTTAGACGATCGACGAATATATGGAATATTAGAAATTAGCTTGTAATATCGCAAATATACAGAGCTTGATATATCGATAAGAACACTAGAAATAACTGCTTGAACAATACAACTAAATGTGTTGTTTTGTAAGATTTTATATACCTAATGCGCAATATTGCTTAAAAAACATAATAACAAAAGAATGTAAGAATGAAATTACATTTTAAACGAATTTTATGTATAAATATAAATGCATAAATAATAATCATAATTTCCCATGTTTCACATTTTTTTCCTTAACAAGTTATTTAAAGTCTTGGAATATTAGAATATAAACTTTTATTAATTCATCCCTTTGTTCCCTGAGTTGGTATTGAGTTAAAGTTAAAAGTAAAATTGATCTTATATCATTAATAAAAATACAGTACCGAGATCAATGAATGATCTTTATCATTATTGCCCCTAAATAGGAAACAATTTTAATTTTTTTAAATATGAAAAGAAAATTTCGGAAACAAAATAAACTTTCTAATCAAATTTTCACATTTCTAGATATTTACTACACAATTAACACATAAATTAAATTTAAAAATGTGATTAATTTAGTCATACAATACATACAAGTTTGACATACAATAATTTGAAAATATGTATAAAACTTTTAATTGTTCAAAAGTGCAAAAGTTATAAAAGATACTTTTTAGAATAAAATATTTATCTCAACGGAATAACATAACTTTTACATAACATTTACTTACATTCCACATTTAGAAAAGCGCATAAACAGTGTACCTACGTTACTAACTTTTTCTAATATACAACAAATTCCTATCTGAATAAAGTATTCCCACAACGTATATTATAATGTACTACGTTTATTATTTTCTATATATTTTATACTGATAAGAGAATAAGAGTACAGATTATTGGAAAAAGATAAATATGTATAAATGTGCACGTTTCTCCAGATTTACCATTCTTATAGAAAAGAAAATAGTAACTATTATTTCCAAGCATGTATTAAAGATGATGTCAGTTACCAACACCTTATTTAAGTACCTAATAATCATATTAATGTTTATAGACACTAATACGGATTAATATTAATATGCATATATATCTTTAGTATTTTAAAATTCTATAATCAGTCAAAAAGAAGATAAAAAGTACCATGGACTTTTTAAAGATTTTCTATAGAGATAAAGTAAAATATGACTCATATAAAGTTGCGTAAGCAATGTCGCCAAAAAGAAATCATTTTTAGAATTTTATTTAATACCTGTCTAAAAAAAAGATGTTGAAAGCGAGTATGTTTTAAAAGAAAAAATTTACACAAACTTTCTTCACCTCTACGAAACGTATTAAAGTTGTTTCTTAAGTAGATATGTATATTGCTGCTAATATTCCAAACAAGATTGGAATTACTGAAGGATCTTTACTGAAGGAAGTACAACTTTCAATTTTTGTAGTAATTTGTTACATTCCTATACACTATATTACAATGGAATGATCTTTTACGTTTAAATTATTTATTATTCATTATATATAAAACATAGGCTTCTATTATAAAATGATATTAGAAATTAAAATTCTTAAAATAGACATGTTAATAATGGTGATGCATGTGAATAAATATTTAGTTGAATATGTAATGTTATTAAAACTTTTCATTGGTAAATTCTAAGCTATCTAGTTAGATGTTACAATGTCACAACTCTAATAATAGTACATACTTCAATAAAAACTCATACGCTAATTATAAGACAATAAATTGTTATCTAAGATAATATAGCGATATAAATAAGAGATACTTACATCTGGATGTTCTTTAACAGGTACATAAACTTTTTCCGTAAGCGTTGTGATATCGCCCTCTGGTTCCGGTAGAACTAGTGGCTCCTTTTTGACGCCACTAATCTGGAAAAGACTTGCCCGCACTTTTGCGATTTCTGCAACAAAGATAGGGATGCATGTACATATTTTTAGTTCCAATTTTAATTAAAATATTTCGTCGAGTACAGTCTACTATTAACCTGCAAAAAAAAAGAACCGAAATGCAGAACCATAAATAAAATCAGTCAGTTTGTAATTATACATATCATCTCTAATGAACATTCGTAACAGATGAACATCATATCTACAACTCTTTCATCACGTAAATTGACATTAGTTTTATGACGAAGAGTAGATGTGATATGAAAAGACGACTAAAATTAGACAATTATAAAATCATTTAGTCGTATGTATGTAGACATGTGGATTGCGTAATTATAAAAGATCTATTCATTTCTAAAAACGTAAGTTTTTAAAACGATTAAATTTCAATTTCCTGAACTATCTTACTAAGATAAATGCGATACACATAGGAGAATTTTATAGTGAATAAAATAATGGATGTACTTATGTATTTATATATATAATGGCGGAGAAAAAAAATTTTTGAGTTGGCATTTGTATATGTGTATGAACATTAATAACTTTTATATTAAACATTTTTTACCGCATGCCTAACAATCATCTATCCTATAAGATGTATTACATCCTATCTTTATTTTTAATCAGTGCCCTCGTCAATCATAATTCCACTTTGTAAAATTATGATGTTTTTACCTACTGATTACTTTTTAAAACCTTTTTTATCCACCTGTGCATTTCGATATTCAATAATTTTTGATTATAGAAACAATATCGTTGAACAAAAATATTTGGTATATCAATTCATATATAATATCAATTTATTTTTATAACAATATGCACATATATATGTACATGCACATAATATGTATATATTTTTAGTATTTTTTCACGAAATATTTAGACCCTTGCTTGTATTATATTAGATGATTTATATGTTCGAAACCTTAATAATATTATCGCAATGAAAATAATAGAATAGCATTTCCTTACAATTCAAGGGTTTGCAAATATGGAACTAATTAATAACAAATTTAAAAGCATTTCTCATATTAAAATACTAGATTGAATAATAGGTACGTTCGTTACACCCGCGTACATATTTCGAGAAGTGTCATATCAAAGTACTGCTTATACATTATACGCATACTTACTAGCTACATGCTAGTAATAGATGCTTACTATTGCTTATCCATTATACGTGCATACTTACTAGCTGGATAAATGTTAAACATGTATAGATATCAAAACAAGTTAAAGGCGGTCTAAAGTGTAGAGGTTGGTTCAGATATGGTCAGTTTCGTTAAGTAGCAAGTGAAACGGAATTTATATTCTTTCACTCTGGATGATCAATATCAAAGCAAATGATCTATCGAAACAGGTCGCTTTAGTTTTATTCTTGTTTCATCCGCCATGATCCTCCAATTCAACATGATTCGGCTTTACTTACTATTTTACTAGATTAAATTACTGGCCGTGCCTGATCCAGAGCATTTCATAAGAGTATTTCATCTACTTATGTAGCGTTAGACAGTTCTCCTTCAGTTTTGTATAAAGTAAAAATCTTCTTGAACATGAACCAATGCAATATCCACTTCCGGAATTAAATGCGAAAATGATTACAATGGATGCAAAAATGAATTAATGCGACGAATTAATGTAGAAAAAATAAAAAGAAAATGTATGATATGTACGCTGATGATAATATCGATAAGCATACCACTCAAAAATGGATTAAAAGATTTAATAGTGGAGATTTTGATCTGGAAGATAAGAAAGAAGTGGCAGCTCAATGAAGATTAATATTGGTAAATAACCATATTAAGTGAATGAAACCTAAGATACTCAACTAGATACTTAAATATTTTAAAGAAATCAATTATATAACATTTAAATAAACTTGGAATGACAATTAAGTAATGATATCTGGGTTCTGCATGTGACAATCAAAAGGAATTTGCTAGACAGCATTTGAATATGCGATTCAATATGCAATCGTTTGTTAAAAATACATAAAAGTGGTGGGTGTTACCCCACTTACCATATTTACCTAACCTTAATTTTGCACATTGGAAAATTTCCATAATTGAAAATTTTTCAAAAACATAAACTGTCGACGGATGCGCGTGTCTGAATTTTCGAATGAGAAGGACGAAAAGTTTTACAATAAAAGAATAAATAAATTACGAAAAATGGCAAGAGATCGTAGAATAAAATGGTGCATAGATATATCATTATTTATAAGTGTGTATTATATAAAAATATTAATGCCTACTTATAATTGTATTATAGTTGTAGCTTTATCAAGTTAACAAATTTTGCCTATTTATAAATAATACACGATTTTAAGGACAACTGAAGAAAAAAGTGAATTAAGTGGAAATGCAAAATGTAGAAAGCGGTATGTTCCACCTCTTTTTTACTATAAGCAATATTTTTAAACTTGTTTCCAGTTCTACCTACTTTTAAGTATCACTGACTACACAGTTATGAGTATAGATATACATATGCATGCATGTATGTATATGTTACTACAGTACGTATTACGCATGCGTGCGCAGATATAAGAGTGTAAATGAAAAGAGAGGATAGAACACACGAGCGAAAGAACGCAGCATCATATCCACTTTTAGCAACATTGCTCATTACAGCTGACATCAGCTGTATTGTATTCTCGTAGCTTTCTTACCTTCCTGTCTTTCATTACATTTGTTTTGTTTTGCTTTCAGTAATTATTCAGAAACGAAATTTTCAATTAAACAAGAAACGAGTACTATATGTTAATTTAAACTTTCACATGCTACGATATTGCACCTCTTTCCTTATCTAAAATCAGAAGAAATCTAGAACAAACTTTATCTGACGTAAACAATATTTTTGGTTTGAATAATAACTTTAAACACATATATATTTGACTCATATCGCGAGTCAATTAGTTAATTTCATTCGTAGAAACATCTTGTGGCTCACAGAAATGCGTATTGATATACATACATACGTATACATACATATGTATGTATATATGTATGTATATATGTATGTACATTGTATGTACATTGAGATTGTTATAAAACAAGAATATTGTACAAAGCTAAATCGGAAATACGTTGAATGTTAATTAAAAGAAATATTTTTTTATAAAATTTTATTCACTGTCTGTCATATTGCTGAACACTGTAGTCATATGTTGCAAATACAAATCACAATTATTTTCAAACGATGAATCATTGTTTTTGGAATCAAACTTCAAACGAGGGAAAACGCTAAAGTAAAATTCCAAGACGATATAGACCTGGGAAGTATAAATGCTCATTACCTGTGAGAATAAAAATCTATCTAAGTGTAGCGTAGGTGGTGATGTTGAATCGATGTTGGTATTGGTTAGGTGCAGCGTCTATGACATCATCGATGGCGTAATCATCAAGACTACGATCCATGACACAGATCAACCGGTTGAAAAAGACAATGGCGTTTTGAGGAGACAAACCTTCTCGTTAATTTACAATAAGAAAAATAATTTAATTCGTTACAATGGCACTTGTAATTACAATGACACAACCTCCAAACATTTCAATGAACTTCGGCAATCATCTCGAAATTTAATAACAATAATAAAATATTTTATTACACTTCGTGTCCTATAATATACGTATTGTACTCATGTATATAATATGTATTTTATGTGCTATGAAAGCTACTATTACTCTTGCTAGAAACTGTGTACCTAAAATTTCATCGAATTTCAATTTTCATAGTTCAACAAAATCATTTAGTTTCATAACCTTGCTTTTCATCCAATAGATACACTAACACTTACTAGTGGTAATAATTATTTAATAGTATTTCAAACTATATAGTTAATCTAAGGGTAATTATAATCTCATTGAAAGAATAAAAAGGCGATTATATATCATTTTATATAGCGCCGCAAATCAAATCAATAATTAAGCTTTTAGATTCCATTTGCATATCGATATAATATAGATACAAGTAATTTTACATGACCTTCCAACATTTTACAAAGAGTATAATTCGAGTGTGTGTTCCGCGAGTTTAGAAATTTATTATATAGCAGACCCTCTCTCTAGATTCATTTTTCATTAAATAAACATAGTGGTGCAATCTATAAAATAGGATCGCTTGAAAACTGAATATTTCAAAAATATGCATGTACGTACATGTTCAACAATATTTATTTTTGATAAATCACTAGTCATTAGTATTAACTTAAAAAAAAACAATACTGCAGAGAGTGCAAAGAATGCTTCCTTTATTTATATTACGTAATTAATAAAATATTATTAACAAATTATTGTATAATTATAATTGCGTAATATAAAATTTGTGATAATATTTATGATATTTAAGTTATGATTTAAGTTAAGCTCAAATAAAAGACAAAAAATTGATCTGAAAAAAATAAAAATAAATATCACAAAGTATAAAAAAAGTTAATTCACAAACACACAAAATGAGCATAAATAAATAAATGACAAAAAAGGAATACCTATCTTGTTGACAACTGAAACACAGAATTGTGTTTATTAAATATTTGTATTATTGTTCGGGTAATTAAGAGCAAACATTATGTAACTAATCATAAGAGATCAATATAACCCAATCGTATTGTTAATTAAAGAACAACAAATTGAAAACGATTGATAAATATTGTATAGATGTTATATTAATTTTGTATTATCACTATGTTGTTCATCGATTTCAACAAATTAATTCTGGAATTAACACAATAGTGCGTTATAAATACAGATTTTAAATCAATGTCACATGTATTGAAGTTATATCTTAGTAGCCAAGTTTCTTAAGCAATTCACAACTTATTTTCACATAGTGAGTCACAAGGATATATTTATAAGTCACTGTCCAAGAAATTTTATACCAACACTAAACTATGATTTCTAACACAAGCCTTACAAACATACAAATATAATGCTAAAAATAATGTAGAAAAATACATTTCGCGTACTATTTACATTATCTACACACTTAGCTAGAATATAAGAATAATAATATTATT